GTAAAATTGCAAAGATTGGTTGCTAAATGTTGTAAAATGAAGAAAATATAGCCCCGTGAAGTTCGCAAATTTTGTATATATTTGTATTACGCGCGGTAAAATAACCACTTTCGGCTCAAAAATGGTTATTTTTCCCGCGCGTAATGCAAATATATACAACATTTGCGAACTTCACAGGGATAGATTTTCCTCATTTTACAACAATTCACAACCAAACTTTGCAATTTACTCATTTTAAGATGCTCTTTCCAGCTATGGTAATGGATTTCGTTCTCCTTGTCTAAATCAAAATTTCGTCAAAAGCTGGAATCGTCATTGAATATGGACTAAACTAACATTCATGCTGGATAGCTCTATCTGTTTTAATAAAACTATTCTTCCTACTCCTAGAGGTCCAAACAACATTGGACCAATAAGAGAACCCTAAATTGAGAACAGATTAGAATTGTTAGATCTATCGAGTACAAATAAATTAGTTTAGTTTCCTCCTGTAGTATCTCTTTACAGTAAAGCTAACAAAGTGTTAAAATTAAACCTGCAGCAAAATTCTGGTCAAAACTTCTTCTTTGATTTGGACTCCAAATCTGGGGGACAGAAACGAAAGAATGACGGTTTGTTCAATTCTTTTCAACTTCGTATTCCCTTTCAACATACATATATACCTTGACGCTGTTTATAATTACACTTGTATTTCAGATGGTAACCAAAGACAGCCCACAAAACGCAAAGGTCCACGTAAGTAATAGATTCAGAACATTTAAAAAAGAAAAAAGAAAAGCGTACAAAGTTGTCCTTCAGTAGCGTTATATGAATGTTGTGTGTTCGAGTGAGACCAAAAGCTACTGCTGGGAATAAAGCCTAACTCAGGCGCCAAATTTTAATATAAAAACTATAAAAATATAAAAAATATATTTAAAAATTTTAGAGAGAAAAAATATAGAGATAAATTATTTGATATTTAATATAAAAACTGTAAAAATACAAAAGATAATGACACCTCTTTATATTTTTTATATTTTTATGGTTTTCAATTAAAATTTGCTGTCCCTGAAGGCCATGTTACACGGTGCAATTTTTCTTGCAACTTGCAATGCAATTCTACTCTTAATGTTAATTAGTGAAATCAGTGACGAATTCTCGATAATAATGTTGAGAAAACATCAGCGGAGTGTAACGAAGACTCGTATTTGGCAATTGTAAAGAGTAGAATTGCATTGCAAGTTGCAAGAAAAATTGCACCGTGTAACATGGCCTTGAGTTAGGCTTTATTTTCAGCAGTAACTTTTAGCCTCACTCGAATACACGGCATAACAAAAGAAAATGGAATGGATAGGTTTTAGACACTACAAAATGACTTTGGAATCTTTAAATGAAAAGCAACTGATACGACATTTTAATCTAATGTACTGTATTGGCCCAATAGCTATAATTATATAGCGTTATAGCATTGTATTTCATTTTGGCTGAAGATGACTTTGAAAGAAAGTCAAAATTTACAGTCTCAATTAACCTGCGTCTTGTTTTCAATCGTATATTGTATTCCCAAGATGTCTTGTCTTTTCGGAATTTGTTTTTACTTTACTTTTTTAAATTGGTGATGTATTTTTATATATATAACCTTATTTTTAGACTATTTTACGAGTTGATACTTGATTGCCATTTACTCCAGGTTTAGACGATAGCTCGCCCCCCCCCCCCACCTCTTAGACTATGGAGGTAGCATCATTTCATGGCTTGCTAACCTCTGCAGTCATGCTGCGATGTTTATCTTACATTCTCTTGTGCAGCTCCAATTCAAGGTCCGTGTTGGTTTTGTTTGGGTGGAAGTCAAGTTGAGAAGCATTTGGTTGTGAGCGTCGCTGATCATGTAAGTACAGACACGTAAAAACGCACAAGTTGTAACAAGTCTGCAAACAAGTTGTTACACGTCTGTTCAGAAGCTGTCAACAAGTTGTGTTCGCACTGCTTGTTCCCAGTTTGTTGTAACAAGTTCGAAACAAGCTGTTAACAATTCGTAACAAGCTTGATGGCATTATCAGCCTTGTTACAAGACTGTGCTAACAAGTTTGTTACAGCCATGATATAACGAGGATGTTACCAGGTTGTCAACACGAGGTTGTACAATCTTGTTATATCAAGCATGGCACAGACTTGTCAGAACAACCTTGCAACAACTCTGATAATTTCGACAAGGTTGTTGCAAGTTGTCAACAAGTTGTTTCAAACCTGTTGACAACTTGTGACAAGCAGTGCGAATACATCTTGTTGACGGCTTGTTGGCAGACTTGTTACAAGATGTCAGATTTTTACGTGTGTAGCTCTAAATAGCACGGCAGTCAATGATTCTCTGTGGCATTTGTATTTCCTCAACAGCTGTATGAGTTGGCTGGAAATAGTGTGAAGTAATGTTGCGTGCTTGTTCTGTTTATCCAGGTGTATCTCGCTATGGCCAAAGGAGGTCTTACTCCTGACCACACCCTCATCTGTCCAATTGCTCACTATCCATCAACGGTGGAATTACCAGACGTAAGTTTTGAAAATTACCAGTATCGGCGCATGTACCTTTCATTTCTGTAACCAAGTTTACTTGTTAACAAGCTTGCTACAAACCTATTGCAAACACATCTTGTTGGAACAGCAACAGTCACAAGTTGTTAACAGCATTGTCACAAGTTGTTAACAGGCTTGCTACAAGGCTGTTGAGGAGACATCTTGTTGACAAGTTGTTGGAACAGCATTGTCACAACTTGTTAACAAGCTTGCTAGAAGCCTGTTGAGGAGACATCTTGTTGACAAGTTGTTGGAACAGCATTGTCACAACTTGTTAACAAGCTTGCTACAAGCCTGTTGAGTGTACATCTTGTTGACAAGTTGTTGGAACAGCATTGTCACAACTTGTTAACAAGCTTGCTACAAGGCTGTTGAGGAGATATCTTGTTGACAATTTGTTGGAACAGCATTATCACAACTTGTTAACAAGCTTGCTACAAGCCTGTTGAGGAGACATCTTGTTGACAAGTTGTTGGAACAGAATTATCACAACTTGTTAACAAGCTTGCTACAAGCTTGTTGAGGAGACATCTTGTTGACAAGTTGTTGGAACAGCATTGTCACAACTTGTTAACAAGCTTGCTACAAGGCTGTTGAGGAGAGATCTTGTTAACAAGTTGTTGGAACAGCATTGTCACAACTTATTAACAAGCTTGCTGCAAGCCTGTTGAGGAGATATCTTGTTGACAATTTGTTGGAACAGCATTATCACAACTTGTTAACAAGCTTGCTACAAACCTGTTGATCGTGTTGGCAAATTGTTGGGAAAGCATTGTCACACCTTGTTAACAAGCTTGCTACAAGCTTGCTACAAGCCTGTTGAGGAGACATCTTGTTGACAAGTTGTTGGAACAGCATTGTCACAACTTGTTAACAAGCTTGCTACAAACCTGTTGCGAAAAATCGTGTTGGCAAATTGTTGGAAAAGCATTGTCACACCTTGTTAACAAGCTTGCTACAAGCCTGTTGAGGAGACATCTTGTTGACAAGTTGTTGGAAAAGCATTGTCACAAGTTGTTAACAGGCTTGCTACAAAGCTGTTGAGTGTACATCTTGTTGACAAGTTGTTGGAACAGCATTGTCACAACTTGTTAACAAGCTTGCTACAGGCCTGTTGACAGACATCTTGTTGACAAGTTGTTGGAACAGCATTGTCACAACTTGTTAACAAGCGTGCTACAAGGCTGTTGAGGAGACATCTTGTTGACAAGTTGTTGGAACAGCATTGTCACAACTTGTTAACAAGCTTGCTACAAGGCTGCTGAGGAGACATCTTGTTGACAAGTTGTTGGAACAGCATTGTCACAACTTGTTAACAAGCTTGCTACAAGGCTGCTGAGGAGACATCTTGTTGACAAGTTGTTGGAACAGCATTGTCACAACTTGTTAACAAGCTTGCTACAAGCCTGTTGAGTGTACATCTTGTTGACAAGTTGTTGGAACAGCATTGTCACAACTTGTTAACAAGCTTGCTACAAGCCTGTTGATGTACATCTTGTTGACAAGTTGTTGGAACAGCATTGTCACAACTTGTCAAGTTGTTGGAACAGCATTGTCACAACTTGTTAACAAGCTTGCTACAAGCTTGTTGAGTAGACATCTTCTTGACAAGTTGTTGGAACAGCATTGTCACAACTTGTTAACAAGCTTGCTACAAGCTTGTTGAGTAGACATCTTGTTGACAAGTTGTTGAAACAGCATTGTCACAACTTGTTAACAAGCTTGCTACAAGCCTGTTGAGTAGACATCTTGTTGACAAGTTGTTGGAACAGCATTGTCAGAACTTGTTAACAAGCTTGCTACAAGCTTGTACCTGTTGAGTAGACATCTTGTTGACAAGTTGTTGGAACAGCATTGTCACAACTTGTTAACAAGCTTGCTACAAGCTTGTTGAGTAGACATCTTGTTGACAAATTGTTGGAACAGCATTGTCACAACTTGTTAACAAGCTTGTTGCAAGCTTGTTGAGTAGCATCTTGTTGACAATTGTTGGAACAGCATTGTCACAACTTGTTAACAAGCTTGTTGCAAGCTTGTTGAGTAGCCATCTTGTTGACAAGTTGTTGGAACAGCATTGTCACAACTTGTTAACAAGCTTGCTACAAGCCTGTTGAGTAGACATCTTGTTGACAAGTTGTTGGAACAGCATTGTCACAACTTGTTAGCAAGCTTGCTACAAACCTGTTGAGGAGACATCTTGATGGCAAGTTGTTGGAACAGCATTGTCAGAACTTGTTAACAAGCTTGCTACAAGCTTGTTGAGTAGACATCTTGTTGAAAAGTTGTTGGAACAGCATTGTCACAACTTGTTAACAAGCTTGCTACAAGCTTGTTGAGTAGACATCTTGTTGACAAGTTGTGGGAACAACATTGTCACAACTTGTTAACAAGCTTGTCAAGCTTGCTGCAAGCTTGTTGAGTAGACATCTTGTTGACAAGTTGTTGGAACAGCATTGTCACAACTTGTTAACAAGCTTGCTACAAGCCTGTTGAGTAGACATCTTGTTGACAAGTTGTTGGAACAGCATTGTCACAACTTGTTAACAAGCTTGCTACAAGCTTGTTGAGTAGACATCTTGTTGACAAGTTGTTGGAACAGCATTGTCACAACTTGTTAACAAACTCGCTACAAGCTTGAGTAGACATCTTGTTGACAAGTTGTTGGAACAGCATTGTCAGAACTTGCTAACAAACTTGCTACAAGCCTGTTGAGTAGACATCTTGATGACAAGTTGTTGGAACAGCATTGTCACAACTTGTTAACAAGCTTGCTACAAGACTGTTGAGTAGACATCTTGATGACAAGTTGTTGCGAACAGCATTGTCACAACTTGTTAAGCTTGCTACAAACCTATTGAGGAGACATCTTGATGGCAAGTTGTTGGAACAGCATTGTCACAACTTGTTAACAAGCTTGCTACAAGCTTGCTACAAGCTGGTTGAGTAGACATCTTGTTGACAAGTTGTTGGAACAGCATTGTCACAACTTGTTAACAAGCTTGCTACAAGCTTGTTGAGTAGACATCTTGTTGACAAGTTGTTGGAACAGCATTGTCACAACTTGTTAACAAGCTTGCTACAAGCTTGTTGAGTAGACATCTTGTTGACAAGTTGTTGGAACAGCATTGTCACAACTTGTTAACAAGCTTGCTACAAGCTGTTGAGTAGACATCTTGTTGACAAGTTGTTGGAACAGCATTGTCACAACTTGTTAACAAGCTTGCTACAAGCTTGTTGAGTAGACATCTTGTTGACAAGTAGTTGGAACAACATTGTCACAACTTGTTAACAAGCTTGCTACAAGCTTGTTGAGTAGACATCTTGTTGACAAGTTGTTGGAACAGCATTGTCACAACTTGTTACCAGCAATTGTGATATTTGATACCAGACTTTTGTAAGTCTTTCAAAGTTATTGGGGCTTCCCCCCCCCCCCCCTTCTCCTCTCCCATTGTCGGCCACTGGGGCTAACATGATCCATCATTGTTGGCCTTTTTTGGTCCTACATGTGTTTGGGCAGTGTGGAAAAAATAGTTTACTTTCTGGAACCGCAAGAGGACAATAAAAAGAGAATAATACATGGGTGCGCGGAAATACCAGATTTATTTCGAGTGTTGAACATGATATCTCACGGGTGAGCGCAGCGAACGAGTAATATATCATGTTCAACACGAGAAATAAATCTGGTATTTCCAAGCACCCATGTATTTTTCTGTTATTATATAAACAAAATTCGGTGAAAAACAATAAAACGTCCGTGACAATGCGTTTTACAACAAATGATATTTTCACACGTAAAAATATCGTATTTTTTACATTTGTTTAAATACGATTTTTCTCAGTGGCCAAAAACTTTATATAACACTTATGTTTATATAATAAAAATGTTTCGGTGATAATTAAATATATCGACGCTCAGACGCTGTAATTGTGTGGCACTAACAAGTTGTTAAACGGGATGTCATGCTATATTTTAACAGAAAAGAATTCATTTCAGTGCACTGAAAATCATAATAATACCGCAGAATAGAAAATACATGTCTATTTTCTATTCTGTGTTAATACGTCTAGGAATATGACATAAAACTAATTCAGATAACATTAGGGCCTCTGATCCTCAGATAAGTTTGAAAATCAGGTGTCTCAGATTGTCAAAAAATGCATTTGACATACAAAGTTTTTTACATCATTATCTATATATATATTACAGGTAACATTGTTTCTATTGGTTAGAATTTTTCCCTGAATTTGTCCTTTTATCTAAATTTTTACAATTATCTGTTTTCAAAATTTTTTTCTGGGATCCGCGGTCCGATGCTTTTGCCAGCCCCTCTGTTGGAAAATGTTGACTGATATTCGATCGGGCTTGACTGTCCGGTTTCATCCATAATCCATGGACGATGTTGGAGTTTGTTGAGCGAGGCTTAATTTTCACCTTCAATATTTTGCTGTGTTTTTTTAATCTAGCCGAGTGTAATCACCCATTCTGCTTAACGTGCATACGAAAATGGCGAAGCTCGTCCAAGACGAAAGATAAATTTGTTAGGTATGTGCGCAATATTTTTTTTATTTTTGAAGGAATTTATCTAAATAACATGTTTCATAATAGACCATTCCCCAATTAACCAAAATTTTGATCTCAACAAGTCTAGATAAAATTCCATCATAACATGAAAGAGCAGTAATATTCCAAAGTTCCTTTGCGAAATGTTGTAAAATGCGGATAATATAGCCTTGCGAAATTTGCAATTTTCAGTCATTTTAGATTACAAACGAGAAATGGTTAACACTTTTCCAAAATTTTGATCTTAACTAGCCTAAACAAAAATTTCATCACAGCTTGATAGAGCATCAAAAAATTAGTAACATTCCAAAGTTTCGTTGCCAAATGTTGTAAAATGCGGATAATATAGCCTTGCGAAGTTTGTAATTTTCAGTCATTTTGTATTACGCACAGAAGTGGTAACCATTTCCAGTTTGTACAGTAATCTAAAATGACTGAAAATTGCAAATTTTGCAAGGCTATATTATCCGCATTTTACAACATTTTGCAACGAAACTTTGGAATATTACTAATTTTGTTATGCTCTTTCAAGCTGTGATGAAATTTTTGTCTAGACTTGTTGAGTTCAAAATTTTGGTTAATTGGGGAATGGTCCATTAATACGCATTCTAATTGTTTAGAGCGTGCCCACTGTGCAGAATACCATCAGGATTTGTGATACCAGTAAGTTTTTACCCTATTTCTGAGAAATACATCTGTATCATGCTTGTGATGTTACTCTGAGTGTATATGCACACCGGGTAAGCTTGAAAAATATGCTTGGCCACGGTCGGAATCGAACCTACGACCTTTGGACTACTAGCCCAATTCTCTGCCAACTGAGCTCCACGGTCAGGTCGGTTCGATTATGTGATTTTTTGGATCTGAGTCTAGTTCCTTCGATATCGATGTAATCTAGTAATCATGATTGCATAGGTATCGAAGGAACTAGACTCAGTTCCGAAATATCACATACTCGAACCGACCTGACCGCGTAGCTCAGTTGGAAGAGCATTGAGCTAGTATTCCAAAGGTCGTAGGTTCGATTCCCACCGTGGCCAGGCATGTTTTTCAAGCTTGCCCGATGTGGGTATACACTCAGAGTAACATCACAAATATCATATTCACCTGAGTACATTACACCAACACAGAAAAAATTTACATCTGTATCTCTGAGAAATACATCTAATTCAAATAAACCGTCAAACTTTATTCAATCGAGTGAGATCACTGATCTAATAATATACGGAACTTGTGGTTAGAGCTCGACAACTGGACTCTGTAGCTCAGAACTAGAGAGCCTGGCTTGTAGGTTGGGTGGGATTGTCCCTCGGTGAAGGTGTTAATTTGGAGACCTTGGACTACACACGTAAAAATCTCACAACTTGTCAACAAGATGTCTTCGCAACAGGCTTGTAGCAAGCTTGCCAACAAGTTGTAACAATGCTGTTATTTCATCAAGTTGCTACAAGGTTGTCACTCACAACTTGTTGACAAATTGTTGAATTGCAGGACGATAACAAGTTGTTGGAACAACTTGTAACAAGTCTGTTGAGCTCAACAACCTTGTAGCAAGTTGACAACAAGCCGTTGACAACTTGTCAAGAAGCTGGGAACAAGCAATGCGAACACATCCTGTTGACAAGTTGTTGGAACAACATTGCTACAAGTCTGCTGCAGGTTTGTTAAAACTTGTGCGTTTTTACGTGTGTATGAAAATGTCTGGTTTCCTGTACACACGCAGGGCCGCCGAGAGCTTGGCGGGGGCCCGGGGCAAAACATTTTTTAGGGGCCCCTATTGCAAAAAAATTTTACTGAAAAAAATTTTTCGGACAATAATTTCTTTTTAGGTGCGTTAAACAAGGGCAAATAATGTTAGCCAATCAGCGCGTTTGTTTACATTTTGCGTTCTTGACCAATCAGAATGCCTGAAATTGGAAACATGTAAACAAAAGGAGTGAGAAAATAACACCTTGTTCTACGCCCTCGGTGACATTCGATATTAAACTTTATTCGCCAAAACTGACAAATTCTGATAAAGCATGCTTTCTTCTTTAATTTCCTCGGGGGGATTTTTAAAATTCGATCTAGAACGCGAAATATTTATGTTTGAATAACAGTGTTTCGACGCGCGTAAAATAGCAGACTCTCACTTGCACTATCTTTACACACACATAAAAAATTGGTAGATTTGGCAGTTTAAACTTATTTTCCCCACACCACAGCTGACATGTTTTTAAATATTACCTATCTGATCTCATCGATCTCATTTCGCATCGGAAATGCGTCACAACGATCCAGGACTGACAGGTACAATATCGCATGACTCATTACTGTACATTAAAAGTAACCGGTTGGCGAAATGGCGATTGTCTGACCACAGTTAATAGCTGACAGACCTTCGCGAAGGGCTTAATATTTTTGCTAATAAACTGTTCACGAGGGTTTCGTTCTGTTCGTCTTCTGGTTCGTCGTCAATCGTCATCGGCTGCCTCACTTCTTGGTCGCTTTCGTCCTCTTCAAAGCAAGTCGCCGGAGCAAACAGCGTTAGTATTTGCTGTCTTTCCAAGAGCTTCAACGTTGCTTTACAAACTGGGCTATCGCTGATGTTGGGCAGGATGCATTTGATGTGGAACGAAGGTCCACAACCACGGAAAACGTTCCAAGTGGATTAACCTTTTTGCAGGCAGGCAAATCGCAAATCGATGGAAATTTTAAAGGAAGATTTATATTTTATATTTACAGATCTTGATACATTTATAGTCAGTACGTCCTTGGAAATTGTTCCAAAATATGAGTGTGTACCAAAGTTAAAATATTACTCATAATCTCTAGAACATGTTTGAATGTTTTGAATCACTGTAGTTTAGAATTAGCAGTCCTTTAACTCTTTTAAAGACAACAGAACTGGCAGCCATGGCACCCCATAACTATTTAGTGTACAATACTAGTCAATGTAATTAATTACTACCTCCCCCAACCCAGAAGTAGGCAGTTTTTACTTCTCAGCACTGTCACTATCTGTAAATATCTGTGTGTAAATATCTGGTTTTGTCTCGGTGACCCTGCTTTGCCCCACACTTTGGGATTTGAGCAGGCAGGGATTTATATTGTCTGGTATTGGTACATAGTTTACCATAATCACAGGATATTATTGAAAGATTTCCCTACCAATTCACTGCCTTAAAAGCATTATATTATTTGCTCTGTGTGTGTGTGTGTGTTACTTTAAGTGTACTCTGGTTCCAGAGGCTCTTTGCGAGGCGAAAGAAACAAGATGCGAGAACGGAGAGCCTCTGGTCACATCAGGGCCGTATCACCAGGGGGCAGTAAGGCTTATATGTTGAAAAAAGTTCCAAATATCCAAAGAATAATTAATAATGACATTCTAAAAATTGTAAATATAGTTTTCTTTAGGAGGGCAGTTTCCCCCTCCTGCCGCCCCCTCCCCTGTGCTGTGTACAGCCCAGGGTCACTGTCCATTGCGAATCCCACTTCCACACTTGATTAGGTTCAGCATTTGAATTTCGCATGTGATTGCCCATTTGTAAAAATATGCCAAACTGGCTTGGGAAATAAACATTGCTGTAAGCTAATTATAGCCTGTATTAAAATATTCTATTAAACTCAACCAAGAATGTATTACATGTCCTGCAAAACTGATTAATGTTGATATGTTTATCTCCTGAGAAATTTAATACCTTTTCACCTGCGGGAGTATTAATATTCATGCTTGGTTGAGTTTACTATAATAGCTTGGGGCTTTTTAATTGGGGCTTCGGTGGCCAAGTGGTTAGCGCACTTGCCTGTCACCTCTGAGGCCGCAGGTTCAAGTCAGTGAGAACTTTCTCAATGCGACTCAAGCCCAGTCCTCATGTGAAAAGAATAAACCGCAACGCTCTGCCGAACGTCACAGGTTTTCCCCGGGTACTCCAGTTTCCTCCCACATGGAAAGTTGACAGGGTGGGTTGGGTAAAAAGGGCTCAGGCCAAAAAAAAAAATATGTGGGTTTCCGGTTTCTTCTTATAAAAACTTAGGTAGGGTAGGTCGGTTTTAACTTTTTTTTTTAAACTTTTTTTTTAATTTTCCGAACAAGCGGACGCCATTTTGTTTAGTCAGTGCTTCCACATCCAAAAATAAATTTCCCTAATATTTCCTCAAATTTCAATTTTCCACAAACTTTTTCCTCTATGTGGAAACACTTACAAGCATGATCCAATAAAAAAGTTTAGGGTCGGGATTTCGACGTCCAAAAGCTAGGTAGGGTCGGGAAACCGGAAACCCACATATTTTTTTTTTGGCCTCACAGTAATTGGCATATGCTGTTGTGGTGACCCGGCCCTATTTGGCATGCTAAATAGATAGATAGCTATAATTAGCTCACAGTACCGGTAGTTTTTATTTCCCAAACAGGTTTGACATATTTTTACAAATGTCCAATCACATGCAAGATTCAAATTCTGAACCTATTCAAGTGTGGAAGTGGGATTTGCAATTGATATGATCAGAGGCTTTCCATTCTCACCTCTTGTTTCTTTTACCTTGCAAAGAACCAGGGTACACTTGAAAGTAACACACAGGCAGACCAAGTGCTGCAATTCAACTAAGGGCCTGTTTATATGCAGGAAGCCGGGCTGGCCTGCTTAGCGAGACAGGCAGGTGGGATGAATTTCTCTTGTGTTTATATGAGAAAATTTCATCCCGCTTGCTGGTTTTGACAGTTGTTAAAAATAGCTTGCGGCGGTATCTTTTATCCCAGCAACTGGGCTAGCCCGCTTGTGAGTGTTTATATGGAGAAATTTCCACCCCGGTAAGCAAGATCTCACCTCTTTTCAAGTGAGATCTCACCTCTTTTCAAGTGAGATCTCGGCAACCTGGCCAGCCCACTTGACCATATAAACGCACAATAATTTTTACTATAAAAATAACTACACAGCGAGATTTCGCTTACCGGGCTGTCTCACTTAGCAGGCCAGCCCGGCTTCCATAAAACAGGACCTAAGTACCAGTCAATATAAGTCCCCGCTTGCTTGAATCTAGAAAGTGTGGGGTTCATGGGGCAAAGCAGGGCCACTGAGACAAAGCCAGACATTTATACTATCCAGCAATTTTGATTATGCAGTGCTGGGAAATAAAAACTGCCTACTTCTGGGTTGGGGGAAGTGGTAATTTACATTGTCTGGTATTGTACACTGAATAGTTATGGGGTGCCATGGCTGCCAGTTCTGTTGTCTTTAAAACGACTGCTAATTCTAAACTGCAGTGATTCAAAACATTCTCCAAACATGTTCTGGAGATTATGAGTAATATTTTAACTTTGGCACACACTCATATTTTGGAACAATCACCAAGGACGCTGACTATAAATGTATCAAGATCTGTAAAAATATAAAATATAAATCTTACCTGCGATTTGCCTGCCTGCGAAAAGGTTAATCCACTTGGAACGTTTTCCGTGGTTGTGAACCTACGTTCCACATCGAATGCATCCTGCCCAACATCAGCGATTGCCCAGTTTGTGAAGCAACAACGTTGGCAAATGTTGAAGCTCTTGGAAGGTCTTCGAAAGACAGCAAATATTAACGCTGATTGCCCCGGCGACTTGCTTTGAAGAGGGAGGCAGTACGCAGCTCTCGGAACGCTATCCCTGATTGGCTGAGATAGAATTTCGACAATTATTTCCTTAATTCAAATTAGTTATTATAATAGTTTATCTGCTAGGCATATTTCAATTTTACCGAATTGCAAAAAAATTAATGAGATTATATACCCCTCATTGTCCTATTAGCACCATAGCTATCACTACCTCATCCCTTTTTCATCACTCCTCGATAACTATCCCGTCACTACTTCACTACACTATCACTATGAGATGGTCGCGATGGCCAGGGCCGGTGAATAATAGTATAATGGTCGAGGTGGTCGAGGTAGTCGAGAAGGTCAAGGTGGTCGAGATGGTCGAGGTGGTC